GAGTCTATCTTTTTTAAAAAACATAAATGAACCTGAGCATGGCTCTACTCAAAAAATCTCTGCTGGCTCTCTGCTGCCTCAGAATGAAGTCCTGAGCTTGGTAATAGTACATGGATTCATAATCTGGCTCTAAAGCACCTCTCAGGCCCCAGAGCCCTTGCAGTAAACTCCCAATTTCACGAGCTCTTTCAAGCCTCCATGTAATATGTTGGTCAGGCTGCCAGAAGTGGCGTCCACCTCCTCCACCTAGTAAGTTTATAATTACATTTCACGACTCAGCTTAAATATCATCCTTGCCACAGCAAGTATTTACATAGCATTCACATCTGCACCTCGTCCGGTGTTTATTCTCTCAAGCCAGAAACCTGGAAGTCACCCTTGACTTCTCTCATATCCACTCCTATCTCCTCACCCCCAACACCCACAAGACCACTGAGTCCTAGTCATTCTGCTTTCTCAGCAAGCCTCCACCTGTCCTCTCCATATCTCCATATCCCCACTCTAGTCCTCTCCCTTGCCTCTGAACTGGCCTCCCTGTTCTATCTCCCTCCATTTGTTTTCCACACAGCAGCCAGAGGAACCTTTTAAAACTAAAGCTGATCATATTCACCCTCGAATGAAAACAATTCAATGGCTTCCCACTGCTCTTAAAGACAAAAATGATTAATTGGCTGACAAAGCCCTGAACCTTCTGACTCCTGCCAACCTCTTTAAGCTGGTTTCCTAGGTCTCTCCCAGCACTGTCTATGTTCTGGCCACACTGGCCTTTCACCTCCTGAAATTCACTCAGCTCATGAAACCTGTTCCCTTTCTCCCCATCCCGCCTACAACCCTCAGGAAATAACCACTGAACAGCAGCCTGACCTCCTCTTAGGACACTCTGTAATTCTTCTCAGCACTCATTGCCATTTCCAATCACATGTATATCTTTGTGTAATTGTTTCATCAAGGTTCATCTCCCACCTTTAGACTGACAGTTCCCTGATAATGGTGATTGTGTCTGTTTTGTGCACCAGTCTTATGCACCCTTGACTGA